CATTGAGTCTTAGTCTTTAAAGGAGGTTTGCACTGAGGAAACCTGACCACTTGCCTTGATGTCTCCTGAGCAAGCAACTTGCTTTTCTTGTAGTAATCAGTCGGACTGCCTATATTGTTTTGTATTTTTCCTGTTGGTCTTTCTTTCAAGAAGTATCTTCTGTTCTTCTAGCTGCTCCAGGCTGCTCTGCTTGTCCTTTCAAAGGGCAGGGAGTTTTTATTTACTCTGTTGAGGTTCTCAAACGGTGACTGGCATGTGTTGGTGGTAGTGGTGTTGGTGCCACTGAGTCGATCCCAACTTAGAGCAGCCCCAGGTGACAGAGTAGATCTGCCCCATAGGGTTTCCTAGGCTGCAACCGTTATGGGAGCTAATAACTAGAGGCCTTTTCTCCTGTGATGTGGCTGGTGGATTCGAACAGCTGTCCTGGCTAATGTCAAGCACTTACTCAGTACACCACCAGGGCGTCTTGGACAGACAGATAATAAATGCTACACAAATAATGAAGCCCAAATGCCTACCAAGCCAATTATCCACCTGCACACGACAGACAAGGTAAATTCATCCTAGGAAATGAATCTCTGCCTTCAGGTTCCCACTGGTTCTTCCTCTCCCTTCAGTACGTACGGCAGGGAACACTCAATTCAGTCATGCTATCCAGTTCCCTTCGTAACAAAACCCAGACCCACCTGCCAGCAAAACGTTATACCATCTGCTCATCAGAATGCTGACTTCTTAGACATCCATTTAACAGATCACAAGCGAACTCACTCAAAAGCCAAAGCGAAAACAGACTATTGTGGAAACTGTTGTTGTTGTTAAGTGCCTTTGAGTCAGTTTCAACTCATAGCGACCCTGTATAGGGTTTCCAAGGAATGGCTGGTAGATTTGAACAGCTGACTTTGTGGTTTACTGCATCAGACTGTAAAGCCATTTGAACTGCAAGGTTGGCAGCCCAGCTGTTCCTCAGAAACCCTGTACAGGGTTGCCATGGGTCAGAACTAACTTGAAAGCACTTCACAGCAACAACCTGTGGTTAGCAGTCTGGTGCTTATCCTACAGCGCCACACCAGTTAAGTTACAGGTAGACTGAGGCAGAACTCCTTGGGTCCTCACTGAGATAACTGGGTCTGGCCAAAGAGCTGTGAGCGGAAATGCTAACCATCAGTTTCCAACTAGAACATTTGTCAGCACCAAGCTCGCTCTTTGCTATGGGGCCAGGCACAGAAGATAGGGGCTTCTCTGTCCATCCAGGTCCTGAAGGGAAACTGCAGCCAGTTTCCCAGCTGGCGCCAACATGATGAAGGGAAACACGCTGAAACCCGGGACTGTTAATCACCATCTGTCCCATCCTGACCAGCTGACTCATCAACCTGAGGTCAAAACGGTAAGATACACAGAGCAAAGCAAAACTAAAACACTCCAGATTTTAAATGAAAATTTTTTTAATTTAAATTGTTAAATAAAATTTAAAATTTTAAATTAAAAAATTTTTTTAATTAGTGCTTTACCATTGTTGATGCCCTGGTGTGGCACTGAAACTTAATGCGCTGGACTGCAAGGTCTGTTTGAACCACAGGTCAGCAGTTCAAGTTCACCAGCCACTCCTAGGAAACTATACAGAATTGCTGTGGGTCAGAAGCGACTCGACGGCACATAACAACAACAGCAACCATTATTGTGAACACGTAGGACTATTTTGTCAACTGGTTTAAAACAAAGGAACCCTGGTGACACAGTGAGTTAAACATGGGACAGCTCACCAGCGGTCAAACCCACCCATTCCTCCAGGGGAGAAAGACGAGGCTGTCTATTCCCATAAGGATTTACACTCTTGGACACCCCAAAGAAGAGTTCTCCTCTATCCCATGGGATCACGGTGAGTCGGAATCAACTGCACAGTAATGGGTTTAGTTTTGGTTTCGGGTTTTAAAACAAAAGTAGGTCCAGGAAATCTTTGATTCCAAGGCCACTTACCATTTTTTACTGAAACCATATGTACAGTGCCTCTGATTAAGAGTCTTCTATCTCTCCCTGGTGACACTGTCTGATACGCATTGAACTGCTAACCCCAGGGTTCAAACACACCAGCCCCTCCACTGGGGAAAGACGAGGCTTTCTAGTCTGTAAAGATTTGGTCTCAGAAAACCTATAGAGGGCCACTATGAGTAGGCATCGACTCGATGGCAGCACGTTTGGTTTTTGGGTTTGGTCTCTCGTTGATTCTCATGCCAATAAAAAAAGAGAATGGTAGACCCCCGTGTGTGGACCCTGTGAAGAAGAGGAAATGGGGAAAGTAAGAAAACAGATGTAGGAAGCAGCAAAGTTGCACTGACCTTCTGGACGGTACTAGTCAGATCCAAGCAAAGCTGGATGATTTTGTTCTTCGTGACAGAGAAATCAGTGATCCCGGTAAACGGAGCCCTGAGAAGAAACAAAAAATGCTCTTTAGAAGAGAAAGGAGTTCACTGGATCTATACTGTATGTGCTGAGGAGCTCTGGTAACGTAGTGGTTACGAATCGGGCTGTGAACCACAAGGTCAGCAGTTTGAAACTACCAGCTATTCCACAGGAGAAAGATGAGGCTTTCTGCTCTAGTAAAGATTTACAGCCTCGGAACCGACTCCCTGGCACTTAACAACAACAACATACTGTATGTGCTGGTGTGGCGCTGTGGGTTAATATGCCTGACTACCAAGTCAGTTTAACTGCAAGGTTGGTGGTTCAGGCTCACCAGTCACTCCTTGGAAACCCTCTGCAGGGTCACTATGGGTTGGAACCGACTCAATTGCACTTAACAACAACAATACTGTATGTGCAGCCAGAGTATTCCTTGGAGGCCAGGATGTTCAAACTTCATCTCTCATACTTCAGACATATCGTCAGGAGGGACAAGGCACTGGAGAAAGATACCATGTTTGGTAAGGTGGAGGGTCAGAGAAAAAGAGGAAGACCCCTAACGAGATGAATTGGTAAAGTGGCAGCATCAGCGGGCTCAAGCGTTGTAACGATTTTGAGGTTGGCCCAGGCCCAGGCAGTGTTTCATTCTGTTGTGCATCAGGTCTGTATGAGTCGGTACCGACTCCATGGCACCTAACAACAATACTGTATGTCGGTGAGCAGCGCAAACGCAACAAGCTAATCTAAATGACACATGGAGCAGGAATCAAAAGAGAAGACAGACACACAAGCAATACATAAAAACATACCCAAAAATGAGACAAGAGAATTTGCAGCTTGTCAGAAGTCAACCTACAACTCTCACGCCAACCAAATCCTCAATCGTTAATGTTTAACCTCAGTAACACGCCACCTTTCACACAGTTTCACTCCTCTAAGCTGAGGTCCATTTGTTACTGCCATTCATCTTTTAAGTAACTTCCCAATGCATTGCTGTCAAGTCAATTCTGACTCCTGTGACCCCATCCATGTGCCACAGTATAGAAATGAATTCCACCAGCTTTTCTTGGCTTAATGTTTTAAGAACAGCAGACCTAGTGGTGCCGTGGTTAAGTGCTTAGCTGCTAACCAAAAGGTCCACGGCTCAAATCCAACAGCTTGCTCTGTAGAAGACAGACATGGCATTCTGCCTCCAGAGAAAAGACAGCCTTAGAAAGCCTATGGGGCAGTTCTACTCTGTCCTAAACTGTCGCTCTGAGTCAGAACTGACTTGACAGCAGGAAGTGTGGGTTCTTTTGTGTGATATTTAAGGAGAGGTTCTCCAGGTCTTTCTTCCTTGCTGCCACTAAGTGGGTTCAAACCATCAACGACTAAGCTGGCAGGTGATGACTTGTGCCACCCACACACCATGGTAACTTCCAAAGGGGCCTAAAATCCCTTGGAAAGTTCTGGAGAAAAGGACATGGAAGGGACAATAGTCCTCTTCCTGGAACAAAGTGCAGCCTCGGTCATCTCATACTGGACTTTTATAGGGAAGGAAAGGCAGGCCCTCAACTCACCGGTCCAGCCAAGCCAGCAAGGCCTTAGCAGCCCCGATGAGCTCCACCACAGACGTCAGGAACTCATTGCACGGCCTGTGAGAGGTGCTCCCATCGTACGAGGGACTCTTCCGCCGACTACTTATGTAATTCTGTAAATTGAGGGAAGACGCTCGCAGCTTCAGAACCAAGTTCTTCATATTATCTGTCTCCAGGCCATAGTTCTGGGGGAAACAAAAACAGAGAAAATTCAAAACAACTTGCAGCATTCCCAAAGTCTCATAACTCAAAGACGGCTCTAAACGTAAATAACTCCTGCAGTGGCCATTGAACCCCACCTGAGTTGCCCCCGGTGCTAAGCTCCTCTGCCAACTTCTCTCCGTGATAGCCTTCCCCCAGAGCACCTTCTCACCAATCACACCATGGCCGGACCACTTCACCTCAGCACTGCTGACATTTACTGCCAGATAATTCTTTATTGTTGGAAAGTACAGTGGCTCCACAGGATAAGCACTGGACTACAAACCATAAGGTCTAGTGGTTCAAGCCTGACAGCCACTCTGCAGGCAAAAGATGAGGCTTTCTGCTCCCACAAAGATTTCAACCCTGCACAGGGTCACTGTAAGTCGGAACCAACTCCATGGCACTTAACAACTTTGTTGGGCAGGGGAGGCGCTGTACTGCACGTCTGTTATTGTCAAGTGCCACTGATCTGACTTTTGACTCATAACGACCCCAAAGGGTTTTCCAGGCATTGGTGGCACAGTGGGTTAAGCAGTGGGCTGCTAACTGCAGGGTCAGCAGTTAGAGTCCCCTCGTCACTCCAAGGGAGAAACATGAGCCCATCAAGATGTAGACTCCTGGAAAGCCTGGTCTACAGGGTCACTGTGCATGGAGCCCTGATGGGAAAGTACCAGGCTGCTAACTGAAAGATTGGTGGTTCAAATCCACCAGCAGCTCAGCAGTAAAAAGACCTGACAATCTCTTCCTGGAAAGATTGCTGTTGATGCAGTTAGCCGTTGTTGAGTTAGTCCAACCCATAGCGACCCCACACACAACAGAACCTAACAGTGCCCAGTCCTGCGGTACCCTCACAATCAACACTGTGCTTGAACCCACAGTTGTTGTCACTCCTACAAAGATTACAGTCTAGAGAATCTTAGGGGGCAGATTTACTGTCACACACGGGCACTATGAGTTAGAAATCAACTTTACAGCACCCAACAGCTCCAGTCATTTTACAAGCAGAACCCCCAGGTCTTTCTCCCACAGAGCCGTTGGATGGGCTCAAACCACCAACCTCTTGGGTAGGTGCTGAGCACTTAGTCTCTGCACCACCTGTACGCTGTAGGAATGTTTAGTAGTCTTCCTGACCTCTACCACAGTGAGGTGTTGTTAAGTGCTGTCGAGTCTGTTCCAACTCATAGCGACCCTGTACAGGGTTTCTGAGGAGTGGCTGGTGGGTTTGAACTGCCATTCTTGTGATTAGCTGTCTAGTTCTTATCCTACAGTGTCACTCCAGGACTCCCGAGGCAAAGAAACATTAAATTCCAAAGGTCCACAATGACTATGAGGTAAGGCCTCTACTCAAGGAACCCAGCGTCTAGAACGCAGGTGTCTGAGCAATGCCCTCTTCCACACCCCGCCCAGGAGAGGCAAATGGTCTAAACAGCAAGCAGGGTGGCCAAGAGACAAGCAACACAGTTGGCTCCTGAGCCTGGGTCTAGCACCAGTAGCATGTCAGGAAGCGTTCTAACAGCTGCGTGACAAAAATTCCATCCGGACCTATGCGTTGAGCCACCTTCCGCTGCCATCCCTGACCTCCCTCTTCTGACAGTTAAGTCTGGACCCATCTTCCTGCTGTTTCTCTCCTCACAGCCTCTCCTCCAACTTGCCCAGACCCAAACCTTTGAGTCGATTCCAAATCTCAGAGGCCTGATAGGGCAGAAGTGGAACTGCCCATTTCTATGAGTTGCTAAGAGTCAAAAGTCAGATCGGTGGCACCTGACAATAACAACATTCCCATGATGCTGTCTTTACAGAGGCAGACAAACTGCCACAGCTTTCTCCCACAGAGCAGCTGGTGGATTCCAACCACCAACCTTTCAGTGAGCGGTCAAGCACTTAAACCAATGTGCTACCAGGATGCCTTTCCAACTCAACTCCTCCACACTAAAAGCAAAACCAGACTCACTGCCATCGAGTTGATTTGGAAAATCATGCTTCAAAACCACAATCTACAAAGCACTAAGTTTGCAAAGAACTTTTTAAAAGTTTGCATGATTTATTTATTTATATCTTTTGCAAGATGAATAATGCAGTTAGCAACAAAAGGCGTTGACTTTATGAAAAACAATTGTCATTTCAAATAGATTTTATATACATTGTGACTTTACGTTAGTGTTAAGTGCCATAGAGTTGGTTCTGACTCATAGTGACCCTGTATAGAGTTTCCGAGGAGCAGCTGGTAGGTCTGAACTGCTGATCCTAAAGCGCCACTAATAAAATTTAAAGTAGTAATCGTAAAAGATCATATTAGAATGCTGAAACAAGTATAAAATATACTGAAGAAAAACCTTCCCAGGCCCAGTAACTGAACACTGTCTTTTGATTGAAAACTGTCAACATCATGATGTAAATGGATGCCCTGACTTAAGCCTGGTAGCACTGTAGGATCAGCACTGGGTGACTAACTGCAAGACCAGTGGTTCAAATCCACCAGCCGCTCTGAGAGAAAGGTAAAACGCTCTGTTCCCATAAACCCTATATAGGGTCTCTCTGAGTTGGAATCAACTGGCTAGCAGTGGGTTTGGTGTGATTTGGGTAGTAACAGTAGCTTTCTATCTAGATATTAGACTAATTATCTTCATCACTATCATATTCTGGAGACCTAAATATGATACTGTTCTTCAATAACATCCACAGCCATTCAGTCACTTTCAATTCACAGCGACCCTGTAGAAGGTTTCTGAGGCTGTAAATCTTTATGTGAGTAAAGCGCATCACCAGTCTCTCTCTGAATGGTTGGTGGGTTTGAACTACCGACCTTGTGGTCCAGTGCTTATCCTACAGTGTCACCACTGCTAAGAGACTAGAATATGACATTGTTCTTCAATAGAGAAGCCAAATTTCTTTTTAAAAGCTGGATTTCCATTATGGTCTTTTTAAACTCAAGAGAATCAAAGAATCATATGTCACTGAATAAAGACCCCACATGACACAGTCTGTGTCTAAGGGTGTGTTACTGGGATTAAAAGGAATGTCCCCTAAATTTAGTCCCTATACTTATATGCTGTCTATAAGCTAAAAGCAAGAAGGTCATGCTTCTATAGACAAAGTTTCAATAAATTACTTACACTTTTATTGCCACACAGAACACATTTACTTTCAAACTCAAAGATGATTAAATGCATTTTGTCTTTACAAGAAGTTTTCAACTTTCCTCTTCTACAAGCCTACCACTTTTAATGCTAAAATCAAGCTTCTTATTAACTGGTTCTTTTCATTTATCCACCCAGTTTCTCCTGATTCATTCTCCCAAAAAAAGTAAATCATGAGAGGAGAAACACACACAAATTTAACTACAATAGAGTGACATTTTCCAAAGAAGGAAGGAAGGAGAAAGGAAAGGAAAGAAAACTCCCTCCCTCCTCAACCTTATTCCACAGTAAGACGAGAACAAAACCCCGATTCTATTAGCTCAAAAGGACTTCTACGGTACAAACATCATCAGAAAAGCACTCTTGATTTAAATGCTCCACAGAGAAAGACAGAAAATAAGTTAACTTCTCATACTAAATTTGGTTATTTTCATGAGTCCTTTTTGTAAAACATGTCTCTTTCAAAAATTGCTTTACGACAAGGCATGGATAAGATACAAATGTCATAACTTCTAAATATATTAAGAGGGTTCCTTCCATTAGAAACTAGACATCAGGTGTCATTTGCCAGTCTGGCTAGAGAAAACATACTCTAGATGATCTAGGAGAAAATGGAAGCAATTTCTCCGTCTTCCAGTGTGTTAAAAAATCTTAACATTTTAGCTCAGGACAAATCAGACACAGCAGCTCTGGTCTCCTTCCTGGTTCCAACTAGCTGTGGTTGTGACTTAACCCAAGTGACTAATGGGTGTCAGAGAAATAATCAAAACCATGCTATTGATCAATCATGTTACAGCCAAAGAAACAGACTGCACAGTGTCTCTAAAGGGATTTAATAAAGCAAAAGAAACTCAATAATGCTAACAAAGTTTTCTGCTTCTTGATAATCTTTCCTCATAGGAAAAAAGGTATCGTTTTTTAATGACTGGCTAGGAAAAGTGATGAACAAGCCCAGGGGTGTTTGAGTGTGCACTAGAACTCTGGTAAGGTTTACCCATTTACAAGGATTTCACAGACCTACACACTGTGGGAGCATCCCTGAACGCATGTACAAGAGGGCTTCGCAAAGCTCATAGAAAAATGGAATTAAAAGACAATGGAATTTTCCCAGGATCTTTTTGAAGTCCCCCTCATATTGATTTCAGCTTTTGTTTTTGTTTTTCTTTTCCAACCTACTTCGACGTTTAACACACAACCAACCTTCCCTGCCTGGGTCATCAGGAAACCAGGCCCCACGGCTCCACTGATTAGGCAAAGAAGGCAGGTTTACCACCGTGCTGTGTTGGTCTTGATCACTGTCTCCAGATCAGTGCTTTCCAACAGAACTTTCTGTAATGAAGAAATGTTTTCTCTCTCTCTCTGCGATGTCCAATATGGTTGTTAGGTGCCATCGAGTCAGTACTGACCCATAGCGACCTTACACACAACAGGAACAAAACACTGCCTGATCCTTGGCCAACCTCACTACTGTTGCCACGATCCATCAATGCTGCCACTTGGACAATCCATCTCGTTGGGGGTCTTCCTCTTTTTCTCTGACCCTCCACCTTGCCAAACATGATATCCTTCTCCAGTGACTGGTCCCTCCTGACAATATGTCAGAAGTATGAGAGACGAAGTTTGGCCATCTTGGCCTTCAAGGAGCACTCTGACTGTACTTCTTCCAAAATGGATCTATTGGTTCTTTTGGCAGCCCAAGGCACTTTCAATATTCTCCCCTCCAACACTATAACTGAAAGGCACCAATTCTTCTACGGTCTTCCTTATTCACTGTCTAGCTTTCGCATGCATATGAGGTTATTGAAAATATCATGGCTTGGGTTAGGCGTACCTTAGTCCTCAAA